AACTTTGACATCTCTAAAAACGTGACTCATATATGTTGATATTAGCTTGCATTAAAAGTGAAGAATGTTTATATATATATATATATATATATATATATATATATATATATATAAATACTGAAGATGCTGTGATATATATATATATGTATCACAGCATCTTCAGTATTGACATCAGTATTGAGCCCCTCACTGTATTGTTTCTGTGTAGTTGGTAAAATTGATTGGGTTGATTGATTACATATTTACTTCATTTAGTGTTACTTTATCAGTATACCTTTAATCCACATATATGAATCTCTTTTGTTTTGTCATCCTTCATTTTCGCACTTTTAAGCATATCCAACATGCCGCCATGCCCTCTTTACAGTTTTGTGCCGTTCTTCTCAAGGCATTTAAAATTTAATGATTTTTGAAAAAGTGCTGTTGGTGTGTTGGTGCTTTCGTTGGAGATTTACAAATATGTTTTCAGAAATCCAAATATATGCAGACAGTGCCTCACTAACCAGTGAGTAAAGAAATGTTTCTGCCCTTTCAGTTTAAAAAATGTACCTTGTGTAAAAAGCACTTCCCAGAGTCAGGACTGTTTTTGTCCTGTTTTTTCTGGTTTCCCTACAAAAGCAAGAAAATGCACCTCACAACACCAAACTGTCACAAAAGCCCTGCTGGCTCCCTCTGGTTATTCAGGTTGTCTGCTTTCCAAACTTTTCTTCATCTGTGTTTTTGTGACTGCTCTTTGGTGTGACTCACTGTGTCCTGCTGTCCAAGCACCTCCATCAGGTGAAAAATGCATGACCTTAGTGACAAAGAAGGGAAAGAAAGGGAAGAGAAGAGCAGCAGTAAAGCCAGTGGTTAGGGGAGAAAAATGTCATCATGGCCGGAAGAAGATAGACGCATTGTTAAGCCCCAGTTCATGCTTTAAAAAAAACAAGTTGTTTTTTTTTAATACATTTGACTGATTCTTAATGTTTCTCAGGCTCTTTGACTCCTAGGCTTCCTCCAATCTCGCCGCCTCTCTGCCTGGCATAGCAGCAGCAGAGACCACCACTAAATCACATCAGAGGAAGATAAACAAAACCTCATTAGTTCTAGCAGCTAGGCGGAGGTGAAGTCTACAGCGTTTGCCGCTGCCGAGCCTGCCCTGCTTTAACCCTGCTGTAACTCACTCACTTCTGCTTTAGTTGTGCCCTCATGTGTGCTGAACCACACATTTGTTTTTAATTGAGAAGGGAATTGAGTTTGCATTTGAATCAATGTTCTCACTTGGTAGAATAAGTACATGTGCATTGGCACAAGACAACTCATTTGGATTATTCAAAGCTAATAATTGCTTGGCTTTCCCCTGAATTAAGAAAGCAAGAGCATAACCTAGTCTTAGTGCATTTCGAGTCACATAGCAGCAAGTACACTGTATTTCCAAGACAGAAAAATCTTATTTTTTATTCTTTTTTCAGTGACTTCAGGTGGTGGTTGTCTTGGTGATATACCATTTAAATGGCATCATCAGATTATACACTCACCGAGCACTTTATTAGGAGCCCTATGCTTATATTAGGTAGGGCCTCCCTTTACTCCCAAAACAGCCTCAGTTCTTCATGGCATGGATTCCTGAAGATATTGGAAACATTCCTTTGAGATTCTGGACATTTTAGGTGCACTTTCATGCTGCGAAGCTGCTGTTCTGAAGTGTTCTGTTGAATTCAGATTGAATGCTGGCAACTATGAAAGCCACTATGAACTTGTTTGATGACTTTTGCTTTGTGGAATGGTGTGTTATCATGCTGGAAGTCATTAGCAGATGGATCAGTTGTCATGGTCATGAAGGGATGCACATGGTCAGCAACAACAGGATCCACTGAGGTCACATTGTTGAAGCTTCTTTTGTTTGGCATCATTCCTGTAATTCCATGACAGGATGCTAATGGGTTTGCGCTTGGAGAAAGAGTTCATGCAATAATATTTGATGCAAGCATGTCTAGAACAGCATGACAGAGCTTGAACATAAGAACTTAGAGTTTGTTCTGATTGGTCCTGTCACTGAGGGAAGAGTTTATCGTGAATAACTAGGTCTATAATCGTGTGTAAGTTTGTTCAGATGTCCTTTTGTTGATTTTGTAAGTGAAAATAGGTACATATCCTCTTCATAGAACAAATGCCTGCATATTTTAATCCACAATTACAGTATACACCGATCAGGCATAACATTATGACCACCTCCTTGTTTCTATGCTCACTGTCAATTTTATCAACTCCACTTACTGTATAGGTGCACTTTGTAGTTCTACAACTACAAACTGTAGTCCATCTGTTCCTCTGCATACTTTGTTAGCCCCCTTTTACCCTGTTCTTCAGTGGTCAGGACCCCCATCCACTCACTGTCCACTCTATTAGACACTCCTACCTTGTCAGTCCACCTCGTAGATGTAAAGTCAGAGACGATAGCTCATCTGCTGCTGCACAGTTTGTGTTGGTCATCCTCTAGTCCTTCATCAGTGGTCACAGGACGCTGCCCACAGGACGCTGTTGGCTGGATATTTTTGGTTGGTGGACGATTCTCAGTCCAACAGCAACACTGAGGTGTTTAAACACTCCAGCAGCACTGCTGTGTCTGATCCACTCGTACCAGCACAACACACACTAACACACCACCACCACGTCAGTGTTACTGCAGTGCTGAGAATGATCCACCACCCAAAGAGTACCTGCTCTGTGAGGGTCCATGGGGGTCCTGACCACTGAAGAACAGGGTAAAAGGGGGCTAACAAAGTATACAGAGAAACAGATGGACTACAGTCTGTAATTGTAGAACTACAAAGTGCACCTATATAGTAAGCAGAGCTGATAAAATGAACAATGAGCGTAGAAACAAGGAGGTGGTCATAATGTTATGCCTGATCGGTGTATTTGCTGAATTTAACATAAATAACATAAAATATTATAGACTCCAGTATAAATAATTCAGCAAATAAATCAAAATTGTGCACTAAAAGTTGCAGAAAAATGCTATATTTAAGTGTGTTCTCTGTAGAGGATGTGTACTTATTTCTCCTCAGAAAATCAACAGAATATGCCTTTTGACCAGGGGTGTCTACAGCTTTGGATAAGACTGTATATACACACCTTTGTGGTAAAATGTATCAGCATGTGGAACATGGAGTTTTTCTATGTGCTAATATGTTTCCTATAACTGCATAAAAGAGGCACAAGGCTGTGTTTTGTGGTTAGATGCACTGTGATAGTTGAAATGAGCGTGAGCAAGCACAGAGTGGAATTCAGATTGCTAAAGGTTTAATATTGATAGATTTATTCAGACAAGCAATTAAACACAACTGAAGTGTGAAGCATATTCCTGTTCATGTGTTTACTTCTTTTGTTGTGACACAAACACAATAAAAATCTACAAATTCTCAGCTTTGTTAGATTGCGTCATTTACATATCTAATAAATGCAGTATCACACTGAGACGTCACATTGTTAACAGAGAAGAGTGGAACAAACAGCAGAAATAGAAAATCCCCAGTGACATATTTTAGTCACAACTGCAGCAACACTGATGCACTAATAACGAACTAAAGGTTTGAGGCAATGGCAGAGAGCAGCGGTTGCTAAGCGGTGATTGGAGGACTGGGAAAAGTAGGCGGAGCTGCTGCGGAGTTTGTGATGTTAAAAAATTCAGCTTAATAAATATTCTTTCCTTATTTGAATGAGTAGGTCTGTGGTCAGTCTAGGTAGGAACCGGCTACTCGTGGCTATGCCTCTGCTTTACAGGAGAAGACGAAAACATTCAATAACGTTTAATTTAAGTTATTGTAAAGAGATTTTACTCCAAGTAATTTTGGAGCTTTTCTGTTGGTCCATCATGAAATATTTACTCGATGTTAAGGGCAGTGCCCTGTGATGAACTGGCAGCCTGTCCAGGGTGTTTCCTGCCTTTCTGCCCGCACTGGGATAGACTCCAGCTCCTCCTGCGACCCAGGAGGATAAGCAGCTTATAGAGTGAGTGAGTGAGTAAGTGGGTGTTAAGGGCAGCTACTGTGTTCAAATGAAATTTAGAGGAAAAGTTGCATTTTTATTGTTTTTTTTTGTTTTTTGTTTTTTTTGCAAGGCAGCTATGATATGTTTGTGTTTGTTACAAGCTTTAAATGTACGTGTTGAAGCTGAGTTACAGCACTGCTTATCCGAGTTGCACGTCCGGGATGTCATATGGCCGCACCATAGAACAAGAAATAATAGCAATTTTAAGGTTTTAAGCTGATTTTTGAGTTTCTGTTTGCACACACTTCTTTGCATACAATATCCCTAAAGTTCTCAGCATAGCCTGGCTAGACAGGTTAGCAGCTGACTTAGCCTATAGTTATAGTTCATGCTATTTGAGTATGATATTGCAGAATGCAGTACATGGATCAGTGAAAACTTAAATCAAGATTTTTTGATCAAGCCACATACTTTCATGTGATTTGTTGGCTGTTAATGCTGACTTCAACAAGTAAAAACATCTAAAAATATGTTCTTATAATATTCTTACAAGTGGATATATTGACTAGATTTAAGATGATTTTATTTGCAGTGTATGTAGTGTGATAGCCTTCTCTAGGAAAGGAAAGTTATGTGGTATGTGATTAAGGGCTCTGAAGCTTGACCTTTGTGAACTGTTGTAGTTCAGTTTCAATGTGAGGTGCTACTGTATGATGCTGTCTGCTCTCTCGCTGCTGTAACTACACTTTCTTGGTTTTCTGAGAGAGAGAACACGAGTGTGTGCAAGGCAGGTGAAGAAGACACAAGATTTACCAGAGATGCACTATTATAATGTGAGTGTGGCTCAAGTCTCTGGAGAGCCTGATGGCTGTGACATGTTCGGCATATCAAACATCCTGAAAGGACAAACTGAGCGGAATAAGACAGATACATTTTTGAAACTGACACTGTCATTGTATATGCTAGGGTCTTCAGGAAAAGCCAGTGTTGAGGGTAATACTCATAATGTGGGTTTCTTCTCTCTTTAGACAGCATTGAGGACTACATTCAGACCACCAGCTCACATGTGGAGTCTGCTAACCAGGAGCTCGCAAAGGCCAGTCATTATCAGGTAAGTGAATCAGATATCTATTATGTGCTTACAAAGAGGCAGCAGAACCTGCTCAGCATTAATCTGTTCATTATTGTTAAGTTATATAAAAAAAAAAAACATTATAAATGTATTTTTAATAAAAAGTAAGGGACTGAAAGCTTAATCAGATTTGCCAACATGCCCCATTATATACGATGAGAACCTTGAGAGCTGCAAGGCTAAAGTTTTTAGTGAAAAAGTTTCTAAACATTTTTTACAGGGGAGATACTTAAATATGACATTTATCTGCAAATTGGACTGCACAATTTCTATGTGTTTATGTTTAAATATTGAAAGAAAACGTAAAATATAAAATATTACATAATTCATGCACAAATCACATTTTATGTTTTAGTTTTTCAAATATGTTAAATAAACAGTAATTAGGCGTTAAAATGCACAGAAGTGTGTTCATTTACTTTCATTTAGAAGGTCAAGAAAACATTCATTGCACCAGTAGCACCCAGACTTTTGCATACACCTTTATTAGCAGTGTTGTCTTAAAAAAGGCTTGTTAAATGATCATGTGTGAAAATGCCTGGCAGACCTCCACATTGACTTTTGAATGTCTTTGAATAAAACTAGTAGATTACAGACACTTAGACAATATCAGTTAATAGTAAAAGCCTTTTGCCTGCCAGATGAGGAAGAGGTTTAGGCTGTGCTCATTGTAAAACTACTGTGCGAACTACTGGTCTACATGAACAGTCAATATAAAGTTTAAGAATTGCAGTACTTTGATTTCTGCTTGGACCATTAATGTTCATTTGATGAATGATCTCGATGTCTGATACAACATAGTTAGAATAACATGCAGTATTACAAAATCACATTAGAGTAATTTCTGACATTCTCCATGAAAGTTACCAAAACATGATTTTTCTGATGAAGATCTTACTCGGCATAATCAGCAACAAAAAGTGCGTCATTTTATAGGAATATAATATATAGTCATTTATATAGGAAAAGCCCCCCAGTAAGCCCAAGTACACTTTTAAAGTGAAGTATATTTTAAAAAATAGAGTAAAAAATAAGCTCCAGTACTGGGCATCTTGTAACCAAGCATCCTCTTTGTTTCTTACTGTGAATTTTGAGCCAATAGATATATTGCTGCTGTCGGAACAAAACCTCGTATCTCCATTTTTGCCGTTTTTCAGGGTTTGCCGTAATTTGAAATTTCCTGTTGTCCTTTACATTGTGTGTAAATTTCATGATGATTGGATTGAACCAAAATAAATGTCCCAAAATGACATGGAAAAAAGTCTGGTTCCATTGACTTACATTAAAAGTGAAGTATAGTTTTTCCTTCTCCTGTAAAGTTGCTGTTCATACACACACACACACACACACACACACACACACATATATATATATATATATGTATATATATATATATATATATATATATATATATATGATGGTGTTGCTGTAGATTCTAGATTGAGATGGCTTCTGCGGTGAGAGCTAAACCAGAAGTCACATGACCAACAGCAGTCTGGACAGTTTGGACTTACTTATTTACTTACTTATTTATTTAGCAGTTATTTAGTGTTTGAAAGGTACACTGTTGTAGCAAAACTTTATAGATATACTGAAACACTAATTCTGGTTTAGGGAGAAAATGTTTATTATTGTTTTTTATTATTATTAGTAGTAGTATTAGTATCAATGTAAATCTGCATTATTTTCTTTCTCTAAAAAGTAATCAATAAGATATTTGTTTTTTTATTGATTTCATTATGTGTGTGTAATCATTCACGTGTGGCAGATCAGGCCCCAGTGAGCCAACTGACCCATTTCTTTGGCATGTCAGTACATTTTACATGAAAGCCAGAAAAACATCCATATGAAAAATATGTATATTTAGATTGAAGAAGTGGGCTTTTTACGGGCTTCTTCCACTATGTGTGGGTTTTTTTTCTTTTTTTTTTTTGGTTTGTTTTCATATGAAAGAGAAAGGAAAATGAGCATTTGTGTGTTTCTCGATTGACCCCTTCACCTGCCTGCTATCCACATCAGCGGTTTGAATCAAATGCCTATATCCCTGTGGCTGTCTTTAATAAAATATTGACGAAGATGTCATCGGGATGATGAGAGGCCCCTCTCGCTGAGGTTGATTGTTTCAAATGAGCCTCGTACTGAGTTTATGGTGACCCCTAACAATGTTTTGCCTTTCATCCAAATAAACAAAGCCACACAAGGTGCACAAAGCATGCATAAGCGAAGTACACAGTCATATGTACACAGATAAGAGTGGAGATTAGATGACTTCAGCTGCACTGAAAACACTAAAGATCTCAGACTACACTGTTCACACTACAGTAACAACATTATGTTCTGTGTGTATGTTTGTCTGTGTGTGTGTGTGTGTGTGTGTGTGTGTGTGTGTGTGTGTGTATGGTGTGATGTATACTACTGCAGGGCTGTCCAGTCTTATCTGCAAAGGGCCGGAGTGGCTGCAGGTTTTCACTCCAACAAAGCAGGAGGTCACCTGATGAAACATTCGAAGACTAAGACCAACTGGTTAAACAAGAGGAGTCAGGTGTGCTCCAGCTTGTCTGGAGTGAAAACCTGCAGCCACACCAGCCCTTTGCGGGTAAGACTGGACAGCCCTGCACTACTGTATTGTGCAGAAGTCAGAGACCACCCATCATTTATTTAATTTCCAGTCAAAAAAGCCATTACTTTATTTTTCAGGAGATATTGCTGAGGAGAAAATATATAAAATAGTCCACGTACATAAATAAGGGGACAGTTAAAGGAAAATAAGTGAAAAAACAGAAGTTTCCAAAACTGGAGTTTAAAAAAAGATTAAAAGAAAATGGGACCCCTAACAACCACGCAAGACCTTGAAGACTCCCAAAACTGTCCCCATCAGATAAACAGCACTTAAAAAGCTTTCATCTTTGAGAGAGAGGAGAAAATCAAGCTCCACTCTTGATTCAGATCTGAAAAATCCACAGGTGTTTGTGTCCATCCTTCCACTGTGAGGAGACAACTCAACACTATGAGTCTGAAAGGATGTGTAGCTGTCAAGAAGTGTTACTGAGAAAAGACAAATAAACGAACATTTGCAACTGAAACAAAGAAGCTGCTGATTTTTTTACAATTGTGAGAAGCAGAAAATGCAACCAACTTCAAGACTGAACTTTGGAGAAAATATCCCTTCAGACTTATTTGAAAAACAGAAAGCAAGTCTCCTGATAAAAATGAAAGCTGTAATAAAGATAAAGAGTGTACACAATAAATACAAAAAAAAAAAATTCTAATAATTTTAATTATTCTGAGGCTTCTGTATCATGTAAAGGTTTTCTGTTTTTTATGCTAAAAAATGAATAACTTGTGCTTAATGACAATTTGACTGGGCTTTATATAATTGAGGGGTGTTCTCTTACTTTTGCACGGTGCTGTACATTGCAAACAATAATAGTATATCTTAGCTGAGAGCTAATTTCCTTTGACTTTCTGTTGTCCATTAATCAATCATTTTTAAGTGAGAACATTCCAGCCATTACTGCAATCAATAACCTTAATATTTTGCCGCATTATTTGAACATAAGCTGTACTTTGGATATGAGCCACTGATTTTCCAACTGTGAATCATTCTGTATTATGAGCTGTTTAAACATAAACATGCCATCAACTCCAGTATTTAACTTGAAAGCAAATGAAAACAAAAAGGAAAGCTGACTGAATTCATCGTCACTGTAGTGCACAGGCTTGGTTGGCTTTTTGTTTACTTGTTTCTGAAGTTCCTTTAGCTCTTTGAATTCTTTTCATGTCTTTTCTTTTAACAATTGGCGTGTGTTATTTTTGCAGCCCTGCCTTTCAGTCAGCCTTTTTTTTTTGTTTTTTATCTGTTCAACTGTACCTGCTTCCCCCCGCCTTTGTTTTCAAATCCGAGTAGCCGGCAACAGCAGATTAGTTGACTGTGATGTTACTGCTCTATCTCTCAATCCCCTCTGCATAATGCGTTTTAGTTTTATCTGGGCATAAACTCTCCCTCTCTGTCTCTCTTTCACACCTTGGTCGTCTTGTGTCCTCTGTCCTGTTGAGGCTACTCAGAGCGACTGTTGCTTTCTACGCTCCACGCTGACAGTAACAGGCAACCACAAGTCCTTCTCTGAATTGAAGAAATGCTTTGTTGAAAAATGACAATGTGCGTAAATGCTGTGCATGATGTTCCATGCATGTTTTAGCCATACACACGTTTCATGTCAGTGCAGTTATTTATCCTGCAAAGTACAAGATCTCACTAAAGAGCAAGCCAACAATGCTATTGGCTTAGTTGCCTGTTTTGGCCAAAAATTCAGCCACGATTGGTGTGCTGCTAGCTCGAGCTCAGCCCTGCGGAGTGGCTGTGTATGCATTCTAATTGCAGTTCTGTTTTTGTTTACACAGTTGTCATCCGTCTCTGTGTATCGATTAAGTCCCTAAGACCAATCAAATTAAGTGCATTGGAACCCTAAAACTTTAATACCATAAATGCTGAAAAATATATCATCTCGGTACGTCTGCTGGAAAGGTTCCCTTTTAGGAAATCCACAGCTTCTCCAAGAAGCAGTCAATCAAAATATACAAATCATTCGTCAGAGCCAGCGCCTGTTCAGCTGGAAGAAGAAGCCGTTCCTTGGGCTGAACCCAATAAGTCTGCTTTTGCCCACCTCGCTCAGCTCTGTTTTCCCCCCTTCTCTTCCTTCCCTCCTCTTACAAGTGAGCAAGTGAGGGAGCAAATGAGCGAGTGGCAACAGCTTTCGGATTAATTGTCATTTCATTATCTCAAGGAGAGCTCAGCCGTGACCAAACTCACACAGAGCAATTTAGCACTCCGCCAGTCCCGCTGGCCGCTCCCTGAGGGGAGGGCGGTGTGTGTGTGTGCGTCCCCCACGCTTGCGTGTTTCCTTTTAAGCATCTCTCCTAAGTCCATACACGTTGGTGAGCGTCGTACATGCCGGGCAATTAAAAATGGCAAGTCATTT